AAAACAACAACTCAGGCTCATTACTCCTTTTACTACGAATGTTTTGGGTGCAGCCTTATAGGAAGTGTTATTCCCAAGTTCCCGAGACTGGAGAGGTCAAGTTGTTGGAACTACTTTCCCTGTATCTCTTCTGACCAAAGTGAGTGGAGGGAAGGAAAGAAGTCACTCCACAGCAAGGGGCCAGGAAGGCCTCTCAAGATGTTCGTTTCTAGAAGCTAACAACCCACATTAATAAGAGGTAAAGGGAGCTTTCGTTGCTTCATTCGATGCGAGTGGTGTGTGCATCATGGGTTATTTAAAGCGGTGCCAACGGCACTGTGTAGATTACACGCATGGGTGGGTTATTTATGCGGGCACATTATATTTGAGAAAGCTCAGGGCTACCCTGAGTTAGTGATGCCTTCTGCCCTAACGATATATTACCACCCCTCCTCACAGCTATCATTTGGTAACTATTTTTAAACTGTCAAGTCTCATTTAACGCCCTGTCCTCAGGCCTTCCACATTTAATTTGGGGTCTCATGCCCTCTTCGCTAGACATGCCTACTTCCTTCGTCTCCTTTTATCAGTTTTTCACCCTGGCAGTCAGCTAAGTACGACAGGGGAAAAGGAGCCTGGGTGATACAATCATATGCCGTTTAATAGGAAGATCGGTGGTTCAAACCTACCATCCAGTGCACAGGAAAAACATGTGGCAGCCTGCTTATATACAGACGTCTCATTTTGGAAACCCTGTAGGGGCAGTTCTATCCTGTTCTACAGAGTCACTATGGGTCAGAATTCAGCTCAACCAGCAGTGGGTTGAGTTTGGGTTTTTTACACAGGGGGAAGATCAGCTTCACATCTTCTTTGTCTTTTGTGGAATGGCTGAGCACACAAGCTCCCGAGTGTCCTCCACCACGAAGGCCACAGTGCGGACATCAATTGTGGGTATTCCTGGTGGATTAACCAGCGATGAGGTCAGTTGTGGCCTTCTGGAAGAGACATCTGTGTGTGCAAGGAGGCCGGCTTTCTCACTTTTTTTGATCTTGCGCTCCAGATTTGCCTTATCATAGGAAAGACACCTTGCGTACAGTTCAGAAATCTTTAAAATTCTTCTGGTGACAGAGACCAGGCAGGGAGGTAGCTCAGTACATAAAAACACAAAGATCAATCATCCTTCCAGTCCAAACCATTATGGCATAATGCTACTTGTGGGTAAAAGAAAATACACTATTAACACTTGATGAGTTTACGTGCAGAGCTCAAACCTGGAATTGGTTTTATATATAACTGATATAGAAAACCTGCAGGTTTGAATATATGGAAGCCTGCAGAAGGGAAGTTAAGTGTGACTCCCTGATTCTCTGGAAATGATGTCCATGTGACCTCACAGAGAAAAATGTCATTAGAGGTTAGTTTTTTAAAAAGGTAGCTTAAATGAGGCCACTAAACATCTTTCCTGGGAGCCCAGGAAAGAAAAGTTACAGGAGCATGTGAGTGTTCGCAATTCTTTTTATAACATTCTTATTAGAAATGTTCAGGCTAAAATACTTTATCCCTTTTCCATTTCCCTTACGAAATGCCTTTGCTGAGACATGAATTATGTAAAAAGAAAAGAATCCACTTTGTGATTGGGTAGAAAAACAGAAATAAGTCATCATTTTTTTCTGACCACTGCATACTTTTAAATTTCTAAGATTAGTATAATAAAGCATTTTTAAAAACACACATAAAACAAACAGCTCTCTCAGGGGTATTTTAATATTTTAAGATTGACTTCATACGTCCATCATTATCTTTATCTCTCTGATATCTTTGTTATTTATAAATATCAAAGGAAACTGAGCCTGACTTGTAATCCACCCATGGCCAGTAAGTAGAATCTGGTGCATAGAATCTTTACCTAAGGTTTTTCGGACTGTAAACCTTTATAGTAACTGCCAGCCTCATCTTTCTCCTGAGGATTGGCTGGTGAGTTTGAACTACCAACTTGGCAAGTAGTAGCTAACTGCTTACCCAGCAGCACCGTGAGGGATCCTGAGTCATAACACTATCTTACATTATATTCTCCAACTGTTTGAGCACAAGAAAATTTGTTGGGCATGAAGACCAATTTAATAACACCTTTCGACAGTGAGATTCAAAAAGCTTCTCTCTAAGCAAAAAGCACTCAGCAGGCCAATGTTCTTGTTGAGGTGTTTAGTCATCGACTACGGCATAAAAGAGGAAAATGGTATGAGAATCCTCCAGGTGTGGTTAAGGAAGGGCCCACAATCGTGGGGATGGCCAAATAGAGGGACCAATGGTACGGGTGGGCTATCTTAGTCGAATTTAGTAAAAGAACCTCTCCTTTTCCTTATGAGTATATTGACAGGAAGGAGCATGGCCCAGGTGTCAAGGCCACCAACTCCAGGTCTGAATGTTGACCTTGCCTTTACTAGCTGGGTGACCTTAGGTAAATTAGTTAACCCCTCGGTGCCCTAGAGTTCTCAAGTATTACATAGTAGTAAACAACATAATGACAAGTTCCTGGAGCTCATTTTAAGATTTAGTTAATACTTCTAAAACCCTTAGGCTGGAGCTCAGAACATAGTAAGTACTATGAAAATGTTTGTTGAATATTATAAATCACTGGCCAAAGGCTTTTGTACAATCATAATTTTAAAATTCTAATCTCAATTAGAATGTATATGCCTACTTCAAAACACTCACATAAAAATTTGGAGAAAAAAATAAGAGACCGTTTCCAAGCATTTATTTAGTACTTTGGGATTAAAATATGTATTTATACCCCATTGCTCTTATCTAGATATTTTCTTATGTTTTCATGCTTACAAGTTACAGATGTATTCTGTGTTTTCAATGCTTAACCTGTTTTTGTTCATTTCAAACCATGCACGAGCCATCTTTTATCTCAAAAGCAAGAAGGATTATAACTTATTTACCTTACAATTCTGTCACTTGGGTTTAAGTTCTAAAAGGAGTGTTGTGGCTACAAACTGGTCTTTTGGGTTGTTTTTTTTAAACATAACTGAGTGAACTAAATAAGAAAGAGCAATGTCAGCAAGTGACAGCTTCAATGACCAGTTTGCTCAGCTGCCACCACTCTGCTGGGTGGTTTTGTTATTTATAAAAACAAAAGAATCATACTGAGTATGGCACTGACACGCTCGGGCAACACACACGTTTCAGAGGGACGGGAGGGTCAGGTTACTGCGGTCTTCTGTGGAATTTTAAGTCAAGGGTGGGGAGCAGCCGGGACAGCCGGAGACAGAGCGTTTGCGGAAGACTCCTTTGGATGGCAGCAAAAAAATGTGAATTCAAGACTTTTCCCATCTTGTTTCTGTACCTAGACCCACAGGGTCAAATATCCAGGCAACTGTAGAAATGGATCCGACTCCTAGCGGCCCTAGAGAACTAAACAGAAATGCCCCTGTGGATTTCCAAGGTTGCACCTCCTTACAGAAGTAGAAGGCCTTGTGGTTCTTCCTCAGAGTGGCTGGTGGCTTCCAACTATTGAGCTTACGGTGAGCATTCCAACACTTACCCAACTTTGCCACCCAGGACTCAACTCCATAGCAGTGCGTTTGGATGTGGGTTTGGTATAGAAACTCATCCAGGGCACTGGAGGTGTGATGGGCTACATGGTGAGCTGCCCACCACAAGGCTTGCAGCTGTCTACTCTCGTGAAGACTTAAGGTTTTGGAAACTCAAAGGGAAAGTTCTATCCTGTCCTACAGGGTCGCTATGAGTTGGAATCAACTAGATGACAGTGAGCTGGGTTTTTATAGGAATTGATAAATGTGTTAAAATGCAGTATATTTCTACTGAGGCAGAGTAAGTTGTAGAACAAGCAGTTTTAGGTACTTTGCTTATTTTTTAACTTGGAATAAAAAGCAAAGGTAGAGGGGTCTGAATCTATGCTGGTCATGGTTTCAGCCCCGTGATTCAATAGCCCTTGGTTCTTCATGAACTGAACCGAGGAGTTTCCTCTTTACTTTCTCTAATGAGTGAGATTGCTGACACTCGCACGACTCTCAAAGTCACAGCATCATTTGATTGTGGGATTGCTCTTTGAGGACCGGGAGTATTTTGACAGCAAATAAAAGCAATAGCAGCATCCATGATTCTCGTTTAAATACTGTCACTTCAGAGAGAGAGAGAGAGAGAAGACTGCTATCCTAGCTTAGGGTGAAGCAGAAACTACATGCTTTTGCTTCTCAAGCAAATGCTTTTTATTTGCACACGCTTCTTAACAAATCAGTTTTCCTGGAGCCAAAGACAAACACTGAAACTCAAATTTGTATCAATCTTAGATCTGGCAACTACCATCATTTTTCTTCTTATTTCCTCTCTCCTTACATCTGTCCCAGTTCGTCCCTTGCCGCCGCACCCCCAAGCCCCCCTTGACTGGAGACATGGCAGCAAGCAAACTAAAGGCCCTGGCCCCATGGAGCACACAGTTAAGTAATGTGATTCCAGCTAGTAAGAAGTGGGGAGTGAATGCTGCTGGGTTAGAGGGGCGGCTTGTGGAGGGGAGAGTGGACAGCGCCTTTGCTTGCAGAGCTCAAAGACGTCTCTGAGGAAAAGACTAGGAAGTAAGAGGAGGAGTTAGTCATATAAGGATCCGGGTTGGGGGGACAGGGAGAGGGGGGGCATTCCTGATGGCAGAAATATATGCAACAATAATTTATAAGAACAAATTTCTGCACTTCTAAGTTTACCCCCCAGAGTAAATTCTCCCTTTCCCTAAACCAAGCCCCGACTTTGTTATAATGCACCCTCCGCCCCGATACCTGGCACAGGCCTGGCAGAATGGGCCTAACAAAAAAAGAAAGGCTCTCAGGTCTATCAAGTGGTCACCATCTATCACGACCAACCATGAGCTGAGAGACAAGCACAAGCTCCTAGTGGTCACAGAAATGAGCCACTGGCACCACTGGGGGGCTGTCCCCAATGCCACTGGTTTAATCATTCGGTTTTCATTGTGCATCCGCTTCGCCAGCTTGGAGACTTACCAGGCCCAGTGTATTCAAAAGAATCTGCTTCGTCAGGGGTATCGAGTTCATCAATATTGATATCAATTTCATCTGGACTGTCTAGGTTCTCATCAGAGAGGACTGACCCTTCACTCTGATCCAGAGAAAGGTTGATATTTGGGGCTGTCAGCTTGATTCTCCTGGGATGAACACCATTAAGATCCAGAGAACTGGGAGGTTCTAAAGAGTAAAAAAGAGTACCATCATTAAGTATTAGGCCCCATGCATGCTTTGAGACTCACTGAAAAACACTTCTAGGGTCCTTCTAGTACAGACAGATCAGCTAAAAATGTTTGCATGGGATTTCGGCTCTCTTCCTGACCAGTAGGTTCTAGTACTAGACCTGGGCTATGTACTAAAGGAAGTGGAAGTAATGAAAAAAAGGGCAGAAAACTAGTTTTTTAAATTTTCCTTTTTTAATTGGAGAGATTTATTATTATAATGTTGAAATTTTATGGTGCATATTGCAAGTTAGCAATGAATCTTACATCTACCATCTAATGATTCCATACGAGCAGCTGTTGCTCATATGGAAGAACCTAACCTGTTATATTCACTGTTAACTCTGTGTGCCAGTCAGATTGTCTGTCACCTTGCATTGTGGAGGGTGGAGTCCAACCTGTCAATCAGTCAAACAGGTCACAGCTTAATGATGCCTCATGTGGAAAGACATTGGGGACCCCTCCTTTATTTTTTGCCCCCTTTACCCTTGCTACTTGCTGGGACTCTGTGTCTGCCTCCTGAGACAGCTCCATGTGGATCGTTGGACCCTGAGAGCTGTCAGCACCCTGCCTGTTTCCACCGACCTTGGATCCACGTGATTCTGTACCCACTGGCCTGTGATCTCACTGCTTCTTGATTCACCTTTCTTCGTCATAGGCCCGCAGTTGCATGAGTCTGACGAGGGCTCCAGCTAGCGTTGAACCCATGGAGGATGTTGGACTGAGCTGGGGTGCCTTCTTGGTATAAAATTACTTCTTGATATAAAGCACTTAGATATGAGTATACACGAGTGTCACTGGTTTTGTTTCTCTAGACAACCTGGCCGAACACTCTAAAAATGCTTTTCAGTTCCTGGCAACTTTGCACACGGTATCAGTGCTGTTTCTTTGGCTATTTTTGTTGTTAGGTGCTGAGGTAGGTAGTTTATTGTGCCAGCCTGGCCGATAAACACATGTGGGGTTAATTTAAAGGCAGAAGGATAAATGGCTCAGGGAGCCTCACCTCTCTCGGTCTTGGGTTTCTTGCTTTGTGATGGTCAGACCAGGGTGAAGCTGCCTTAGCCAGTTCCCTGCTTCAGTTGACAAGGCTCACTTCCTGCAGGACATCCCTGAGGAGAAGCCACATGGACCTACCCTGATGCAGTCCTGGGTGCTGGAGCAGCTGTGTGGAGACCCCTGCCAACGCTGAGATGCTTACACGTTCACTGACTCAGCTTTCGTCCTGCAGTCGGCGTCATTGAGTGTGTTTTGGGAGATGGAGGAGGACTTTGTGGATAGGTGTTGGACATATGGGTTAATGGGTTAATAATGTTGGACTTGTGGGCTTGGGCAGCACCGGGTTGGGATGTTTTCTAGATGTGCACTTACCGTTTATATAAAACTCTCTTATACATGAGTTTGTGTGGATTTGTTTCTCTAAAGGACCCAGGTGCTCTCAAGTAGGTTTCAAATCACAGCAACCCGATGTACAACAGAATGAAGCACTGCCAAGGGCTGCGCCATTCTGCAGTCACTGCTGTGCTTGAGCCCATGTCACGGCCGCTGTCGTCAGTCCACCTCACTAAGGGTCATCATCTTTTCACTGACCTTCGACTTAGCAAGCATGCCGTCCCTTTCCTGGAAAGGGCTCCATCTGATACCATGTCTGAAGTCTGTGAGTCATGCTGTCCTCTCTCCTAAGAAGCATTCCGTCCGTACTTCTTCAAAGACAGATCCGTTCCTTTTCTCGGTCCAGGGCAACTTCACTCTTCTTCACCAGCCCATCATTCAAAGGCACCAATTCTTCTCCAAGCTTCTGAGTCATTGTCTAGCTGTCACATGCATGTGAAGTCATTAAAAGTGTCAAGGTCTGTATCAGACTCACCTTGGTTCTCAAACTGACATCTGCCTTTTAGTACTTTAAAGAGGCCTTTGCAGGTTGGCCCATTGCAATACGCCATTTCCTGCTTGCCCGCTGCTCTCCTGGGCACTGACTGTGGGCTCAAGTAAATGAAACCCTTGAAGATGCAGTGGTATTTTTTCCATTTATCATGATGTGGATTATTGGTTCACTTGTGAGAGTTTTTCTTTTCTTTATGTTGAAGTGTAATCCATACTGAAGAAAGCTTTGTGTAGTTTGAGCTTCATCAATAGGTGCTTCAAGTCCTCTTTGATTTCAACGAGTAAGGCTGTGCTATTTGAATTTCTCAGGTTAATGAGTTTTCTTTAAACCCTGATCTCATGATCTTTTTTAACATAGTATACTTGCTTTGTTCAGCATAGAGATGGAAAAACTGCGGTGACGGGCTACAAACCCAATGTATCCTTTTCCAGATTTAAACCACACAGTATCTCCTTGGTTTGCTTGAATGGCTGCCTCTTGGTGTCCATGCAAGTTCTGCATGAGCACAGCCAAGTGACTGGTTCTGATGTCTTTATTAATATTCTCTATTTTCTAATATCCATTGAAATAGCTACCCTGAACTCACAGACAAAATTCACAATTAAGGGGTTATTAAGGAATTTAGTAAATTGCAATATCAGTGAGAAATGCTCAGGGTTGACCAATTTATCAGAATAGGTTACAGAGTGCTGTCATATCTGCTCATATATGTCCAAAGGGCATACCACTCTGCTATTAGACTCAACCCAAAGGCCTTCAGCTAAAGCTCTGGGTCAGCAAACCCAGCTCCCTGAATTAAGTACCTGTATTTAATTAAGTACCTGAATTGAGTACACCCCTGTAAGCCTAAGCCCAAAGGCCCCAGGCTCCACTTTCATGGGTCAGCAAGTCCAACTTCCCCAGTAAAGTGCCCACTTCAAAGCCAGCCTCCTGCACAAAAACACTCAGCTTTACTTGATTTGGGGGTTGGCAGTGGGTTGGGATCTCCAGTCCAGAGGACGTGCTCCACTCCTGGCTCTTGCTAGTACAGCTGTCCCTCCTCCTGCTTCTCAGAGGGCTCCATTCAGACACAGAAGGCTGGCACTCCAAGAATCCACTCCACAATTACTCAAAGCTGAATTCTATCAGTATCTCTCCCACCTTCTTACCAGCGCTGTGCAGGGAAAGGTCTTTGGTGGGAATTGAGACTTTGGCTGGAAGAGCCATATTAAATAATTCACTGCTCCAGCATAGGTTCTGTTTTCTTTTCAAATACTGGAGGTATTCTCTCAAATTGTATTCTTTGGACCCATTCAACCAGTCATTCATTATCTCTTATGGCAATAGTGTGTTTGGGTACGTGTTTTAAAAATTATCATTGGTGTGAAGCTCACTCACATAAAAGGAACAATTTTAAATAACCAGAGGAGTTTTCACTCTAGCATCCTATGATCACTTCGGTCTCCCTCATCCTCCAGCCATAGCCTCTGGATTGTGCTTTTCTGGAAGGCTGAGACCATCCCTGTCCATCACATTAGGTAGACGTGCACGCAACCTGTGTCAGGCAGACAGAAGGTCCCTCTGGTTCCACCTGATGTGGGAGCGGCAGTGAGGTACATCCCTTTCTGGCTGCTGGAGCCTTCTGTTCCAAAGAGGAGTGGACAGGGTGACCACTAAGGCGAAGCTCAGCGAAGACTCCATGCTGGCAGGGTGAAGGGAGTCTGGGCTCTAGGCCTGGATACTATGGAGGGCACCTGGTTCTTCTCTGTGTGTTTGATGATAAAAATGTTATTGTTCTGTTTTACTTTTCACATTTTATTTGGGATAGGTCAAAGTTTAAGTTTAAAGAGCTGATCAGTTTCCCATTCAATAGCTCCTGTCCCACTACCTCCTGTGTTCTCGGTTTTCATTGCTAAACTTGTTGTGGACAAATGCTACCATTTGGTCTTGCATGGTTGATTGTTCTGAAGACCACAAGCCCCATAGATGTTATTGTTCACTTTATAGGCTTGACTCGTACTGGACTGAAAGGGGGGACAGTTTTGTTTCACTGTTGAAGAGTGTCTGAGAGCAATAGTCTCAGGGTTTCACCAGTCTGGATTTCATTATTCAGTCTGATTTTTTTTGCTTTTTTCTTCTAGTAATTCTGAATTTTGTCCCACATCTTTCTCTCCCACTCTGTCATAACCTCTGCTGTGGTCCTGATTAGAGAGGTCTGTAGTGATAGCCAGGCATAATCTAGTTCCTCAGGTCTCAGGCTAGTGCATCCTGTGGTTGGCATGGTCCATTGGTCCTCTGGGCTAATTTTTATACCACTATTGCTTGACAATGCTTCCTGTACCCAGTGACCTTCCCAAAGAAGTTCTCACCCTTTCCTTGTAGTTTGCAACTTGCTGTACATGTGTAGCAATTTTAATAGAAACAATGTTGGAGAAATTGTCATTTCATTTTCAAACCAGCACAGTAAAGATAGCTTCAAAACAGATTCCGGGGATTCATACGATTCCTGAGCAAGTCTTTTTTTTTTTTTTTTAAATTAGACGAACTGATTTATTTGACGCCTTAAATTAGGCCAACAAAATACATTCAGCTGCATAAAAAGAATCACATTTTCATTCTACTCGAACATAACATAATGGCATAATTTTCACCATCTTCAGCCTTCGTTTTTTCCAATCATTTATTCTTGTTGTTTTGCCTTTTTTTCACACATCACTTCTACTTTGACCAATCGCTGATCTTGATCTTGATCTGCCTCACACGAGGATCCACTAAGGTCCGTCGAGCGTTGTGGGAAGGCGGGGCGAGAGCTGGGTCACGTGGAGCGAGTCGCGCGGAGGAGGCAGTTGTGTAAGCCTATCCCCTCAACTCCAGCATCCCAACGCTTGTCACAAACTAAGAAGTGGCCATAGCACCCTTGTCATGAAGATGTTTCCTGTCTACAGAGCAGCATTCAAGTGTTTTACTTGGGGGGAAAGTTTCTGTCTACCAATAAACTTAAAACATCATTTAACAGTTAAATAGATCTCTTCATTGCAGGTATTTTTAGTGGAGTACTGTCCTATGATGGATTTCCTAGGATGACACATATGTTGTACATATGACCTTTGGGCATTTGAACTGGGGATAGTATGACTGAAAAACTGAATTTTTAAGATCTGATTTTAATCTTAATTCATTTAGATTGCCACATGTTCACTAGTGGCTTCTCCTCTATCTCCAGCTTTAGTGCCTTTATGATTCCCCAGTGCGTTGTGAATTTGGAGAGCGAGGCAGGCAGGCAATGGTTGAGGCTGCTAAAACAAGAGTAGCTGACCCGGACACGTTCGAAGAAGAAAGGGTGTCACGTGATCAGTATTGAGAAGAACACACGTGGGGAAGTAGCAGGACAGAAAACCAGATGTAACTGCTTCCTTCTTCCTTCCCATCCGAGGTGTGGCTAAAGCAGCTTTTGGAAGGCGTCTGACGCTGGTGCAGGACCAGGGACTGATTCTCACCACACGTGGGAATTATAGAGGTTGAAATGACAAATTAATTAAAAATATATGCCTTGATCATAAATTCTCTGAGTATAGTTTTTGTTTTGTTTGTTTGTTTAGTAATTAGACTACTGAACAGTTTTGATATACATTTCCCATTGTTAACATGATTAGTTGTAAGAGTAAATCTGGGAAACTTAGACGTAAGTCATAATTTGCCATTATGACTTTACCCTAAAGATGGGAAAAGGTGTCTTCCAAAGTCAGGATTCAGGAGTAGAAGTGTGACCCACCCTAGGGAGCCTCAATATTCAAGCCAGTTCAACTCTGAAACGAATCCAATCAAACCTAACACCTTCTCCCGCACTTCTATTTTTTCCCCAGCGTCCTCTTCACTGAAAGCACAAGTTTGATGCATAGGAAATGGTTTTCTCGGTGCATAATAAACCGTCTGGGTGTAGAACAGAGCTGAAGGGAATAAACAAACACTTCTCTCACCAGGTCTCATGTCTGCAGCACTGGGACTCTGCATTCCCTCCTCAAAGGGGACAGCCATCGCTACATCCTCTGGCAGGTGTCTGTAACAAAGCAAACGGCGAGAAACGCTGAGTGGGAATTCATTCAATGACACCCACAGATGCCAGCCTAATGGTTTAAACTCATTTGGGAATAATACAAATATGCATACCGAATCTCCAGAAAGTGACCCCCCTGTTAGATTAAAAGACCTTCTGACCTTCTGCAGTTAATGTGGTGAGAACACGACCTTATCTGTCCATCTTCTCACTAGTGCACACAAGTGTACACACACCTTGTCAAAATCCCAGAAGCCGAAGAGCAAGCCACAATGCATGCCCATAGAGGAATTTAATATATGACTTTTCAACAGGGAGGCCAACCATGTACTTTGGAGTGAAGACAGAATTTAAATTATGTCTCTTAAATAGAAGCTTAAATATGTATTTTTCTCTATGTGAATTTAAGCAAATTAGTCACATCTTGTGAGTAGCAGAAAGCATAGTCTACCGATGACTTTCTTTATCTGTAAACCACAATATACCTACCTCAAAGAGTTGTTGAAAGATAAGTCATTAATGTTACATGCCTACCGTTTGTGTAGAATCAACTTTTTACTTTTCTTTATTCTTTAAATATTGAAAGGTTCACTGTGAGCATACGCGGGTGAAGAAAGTTCTGGTCAAGAGGTTTTAGGTATTTCTTCTTTCTCATCAGTCCTGAACTGGACTCGTTTACATTCGTCCACGAACACACTAACAGTCACACAAATGCAGGACCCCAGCCAGACCAAACCCACTACTACTGTGGCAATTTCTATCCACTGTGACCCTCTGTGGGGTTTCCAAGATTATAAATCGTTAGGAGAACAGACAGCCTCATCTTTCTCCTGCTGAATGTCTGTTGGGTTTGAATCATCCAACTAGGAGTTAGTATCCAAATGCCTAGCCCTTAATCACGAGGGCTCTTTAAGTAATGAACAAAATTGTGAAAAACTGATATTTGCTTACAGGAAACCAACCACTTTTCACAATAAATTTCTTTGGGTTTATTTTCATCTTTCTTGCCCTCATTTAGCAAAGTCTTATTTATCACAAATATATATATATATCCTCAGTGACTTCCAGGTAATTTCATTCATCAAGGGTGAATCTTCTTGATACGGGCACTAAAGTTAAGCATGATTAACCTCGGTACCAGAGGCCTAAACGTACTCCCTCCATTCGCCTGTGCAAAAAGCAGTGTTTGGTGGTGTTTTCAGTGAAGATTTACTACTGAACAATTTTCACACGTGCTGTCCAGTCACCGTGGTTACCTTCTTCACAACGTTCGAGCATTTTCATTATTTCCATCTGGTTGTTCTACTTCCATTAATCTAGTTTCTCAGCCCTCTTACATCAATATCACTATTTTAAAGCAATTGTTAACTATCTGGTTTCATATAGGAGGTTTGTTTTTTTTTAAGCAACACTGTACTTATGGGTGATATTCATTATTTTTTCAGCCAATTTGTTATTTTGCGACAAGGTATATTGGGGGTTAGTTTAGGTTCAAAGTTTGAAGAGGACTTTCTCAGAATAATAGTTTCAGGGAATCTTTCCGTCCCAAACCATCTAGAACAGTGGTTCTCAACCTTCCTAATGCCACAGCCCTTTAATACAGTTCCTCACGTTGTGGTGACCCCAGACCATAACATTAATTTCGTTGCTACTTCGTAACTATAATTTTGCTATTGTCATAAATCGTAATGTAAATATTTGATATGCAGGATATATTTGCATTGTTACAAACTGAACACAATTAAATCATAGTGGTTAATCACAAAAACAATATGTAATTCTATATTGTGAAATATTTCCTTCTAATGACAAATAAATGAAATTTTGTCTTGCAGCATGGTATATAGCGTAGGTAACAGTCTTCACAGCGGGTACTCGTATGTGGGCATACCTGCATGTGGGCATACCCACCTAGAGAAGGATAGAGGAGCGGTGTCTCGGTTCCTAAGATCATCGGAAATATGTGTTTTCTGATGGTCTTAGGTGGCTCCAATGGAAGGGTCGTTCGACCCCCAAAGGGGTGGCGACCAACAGGCTGCAAACCACTGATCTAGGTATGCCTCTCTCGCTCTTACTGAGGCTTCTCTCAGTCTGAATCTGCGTTAACCAAACAGTTGGAGTTTATTAGCCTGGGGATCAATTTCACCAGGAACCTTAAATCCTCTTACTGTCAACAGAGCACTATCATACAAATGAAATTATAAATCTCGTGTAATATCTGTACTTGTTTCACCAGTGCCACAAATTGTTCTCTGATTGTCCAACAGGTGCTGAAGATATATACAGAGAAGCAATGCAGACTAGACTTATTCTTGTGATGTGGTGATGAAGGAATAATCGGCTGAAACAGTACACACGTGCACAAGTACCTCAGTGCTGTTCCCACGGCAAGAAAGAAGTACCCTTTCAAAACCACACAGTGTCGGGAAATTACCTTCTCCGTCCACGTGCTGCAGCCTCTATCCTCCATGTTCCCAACAACTACTTCTCCACCAAGTGAGTCCAAGAAAATTGCTCATTGGCAGGAAGGAACAAACAAGCTGTGCCAAACAAACCTGGCATTCCAGATGGGGGAAACCACTGTGTGCAGCAAACCTGTGGGTGGGAGAACCGCGTGCACTAGGCCCAGAAAGTACTAGAACCAGAGTGCCTGAGATTCCACGCTTCGTCAGTTTTCCTTGAATAGTTCCTTTATACGGGAAGGAATCTGTTTGTTCCTTGATAGCAACCCTCTGTTGTTGAGTACAGGTGCACTCCTGGCCACCTGTGGCCAACAGACAAAACCCCGCTGGTCCTGCCCCACAGTCACAGCACTGCTGTGTCTGAGCTCCTGACTGAAGTCTCTGTGGCAAACCAGGTCAGCGAGGGCCCTCCTCCTCTTCACTGACCGTCGACTTTACAAACACGATGTCCCTTTTCAGGGACTGGTCTCACCGAGTCACGTGTCTTAAGTAGGTGAAGCCAGGTCTCACCATCCTTGATTCCACACAGCATTCCGTCTTTCAAGATGAATTTGTTCGTTCTGGCGTCCAGAAAATACGTAAAATCTGTTTCACCAACACCACATTCACTAACTGCATCCCTTTTCTGATCTTCCTTCTTGATGGGCTAGCTTCTGCGGCATTTTAGATGATTGAAAATGCCGTGCTTGGTTCAAGTGCACCCTCACAGGGGCATCGTGGCTGTTGACACTTTCAAGGAGGCCTCGTGTGGCAGATTTGCCCACTTCAGCACATCACGAGGCTTCTTGGCCACTACTTTCATGGGCATTGACTACGCATCCAAATAAACTGAAATTCTTGACCAGGTCAACGCTTTCTCTGTTTATCACGAGGCTGGTTACTGGTACGGTGGTGACAGTCCCGTGCCCAAGCCCCACTCTGCTGTGGCCGACCTCCAAACAGATGGCTCCATCCAGAGGACGGCCATGCTCAGGGTCTCACTGTTTCTGACTCCCCACTGTGGGGGCACCCTGAAATAAGGCGTGTTCCGGTGGCCCAGGAAGTGAAGGTGGCCATGAGACCTGCTCTGGCTAATGAGTCAGAGCAGAGCTGGCAGCTGCCTCAGGACCAGTGCACGAGGTGCCTCTTCCTCTCTCTTCTCCTGGTGGCTGCAGAAGGCTGTGCGTGAGGGATTATGGTGAGCAGAGGCAGGCTTCAACTAAAAAGCCTTGCGAAATGTGAGGAGGCTGCAAAAAGTTATCTTCTAACGCTCCTTTCCCATGATGTCTTTGAAGCCCCTCGGAGCAAGGCAGGAGTCGTGGACCCCTCTGCCTTGAGTAATTTGGCAAGTGTTTTATGTTCAGAAAGCAACCGAGACTGTTATCTTAACTTGTCGAGCCTACGTTGACACACAAGACCCTGCATCTATTTTTGAAAATGCGTTCTGTGTTATTTTGCATAGAAACGTCAGGGTTACTCATTACCATGTCATCGTCTGTCTAGCTCATTCTAATTGATTGGCCTTTGTCTTCAAGGGAATAACTGACTCTCACATACTCAAATTTTTGTTTGCTCTTTTCGATGGCCCGTTTTGTACATCTTTAAGCTGTGTTCGTGCTGATGGCACATAGATTCTTACTCAGCTGCCGCTGCAAAAAAGACCATTTTTAAATGGGGGCATAGTTAAGAAGGGTATTGAATATTTAAAAGTGTGAATAAGAAAATATTACCTTTATGGCTTTTTCTCATAGCCATGGACATCTACATATTTACTGAATTTTTTTCTTTGAATTGACTTACTTTAGATTAATCTGTTTTTCAAAGAAAGGTTTGTATTACTAATACATAAGGAAATTTAGTATTACTTGACTAAAATGAATAGTCACATGCATTTAATTTTTAAATTAATCAAGAATAAAAGAATGTCATGAAATTAAATGTAGGCATCCCTGAACTCTCACCCCAAGGCATTCTCTTTGTTAAAAACAGAGATTATCAAGCATTAGCTATGTCTGCCAACAGTGTAATGGTGTACACATTACATATACAATATACTTAGAAATGCTGCTTCAGAATGCTCCCAAAACAAAGACTACATTTCCAAATTTGATAGAGATCAAGGAAAATTCCAAAGTCCTAGAAAATAAAGGGTTTGGGACTGGACACTTAACCAAAAAACCAGATTCACTGCCACCGAGTCCATGCTGACTCTTAGTGGCCCTATAGACAGGGCAGAATCCCCTGCGGGTGTCCAAGACTGTAGCTCTCTATGACAGTACAAAGCCCCTTCTTTCTACCGCACTCAGGTCCTATGAAATATGTAAATACAGAAGAAGTGATTTCTAAAGGCTGAAAGAGAGGGTTCGACCTGAACAACTAGGTAGGCTTTCCACCTTAAAGAGCTCCTCCCTTCCATTAAAGGAGATGAGAAAAACCTCTCTTTTCTGGTCCCTGAAGGTATAGTCTGACTGGAACCAGGCATGGGGGGAAAAAACAACAGCTATAGAATTAGTAGCAATTAACACGGGAAACCCTTCCTCATGCTAGGTGTGGCCTAGCACT